GAGCAGCAGACCTCTCCTGTCTCTCCCGCTGCTCCCCTCAGCAGTGTACTATATCAATCTGCCTGTTTTGCCTCCCACTGTCTCTGGTGGGTCCTCTCACCCTTAACCCCCTCCCCCCCCCGTATCCCAGAGTTCTATATGTATACATTTTTTAAAATATTTAAAGAAACTTTGTGACTTAAAAAAATTAATAAGTAAATCACAATTTTAATAAATTTTAAGATACATCAAATTTATTTTGATCACTTAGTAAGGTTCAATGCATGAAGAACTGTATCATCATAGGAAATGAAACAACTGCACAATTTGACAAAAAAGTAATACATATTAACAGCTTTAGCCTGGGAAAAATTATTTGCATCTCTAAGTAACTTGTTATTGAGACCTTTTGTGTTGTTTAGTGGTTTGAACAGGCCATTCCCATGTGTGGCCAGAATTTAATTTGATCATATGTAATAACATGACAGTCCACCACATTTTTGTCTTATTCAACTAGCCGTCTTCCAGTCAAGGCAAGAACTTTACACTTAGATGCTTAGGAAGTAAAACATCAGGAAGTAACTATGTTTCTGGTTTATAAAAGCATAGGAACTGAAGACATCCTGGCTAAGTAAGAAAGTCTGGGGTCAATCTCAACATCAATCCAATCATAAACTACATGAAAGATTCTTTTCCATCCCAGCCATATCTTCTAGTACTTAGTCAATTTTATTTCAAATTTTAAAGTTCCAAGTGATTTTAGTTTCAATATTTCTTTTTAGTTGGCACCTAGGTGCTCAATAAATATTAGTGTGAAGAAAGGATACAAGGAAGGAAGGAAGGCGGGAGGATGGCTTGGCTGACTACTGCTATTAGTAAAATTCTAATATATTCTTTAAGGCAGTTAAGTGCAGTTAATCAGCACAAAGAACTAACTAAAAACATTTTCACAGAGGAAGGTTATATCACTTTCATTCAGTAAATGTTTATACGACATTTATGTCAGGGACTATGCTAAGCACCATGAATCCCTTTCCAAACATAAGGGACTGTCATGTAGACAGGGCACATGACAATCACAATACAGGTGGTATGTGCCCTGAGGAGGCGCAGTGGGAATTCCCAGGGGGTTACCTAAACCAAACTGGAGTATCAGGGAAGGCTTCCTGGAGGAAGTAAAGATGAGAGAGAAAAAGAGGAGAGGAGAGCACAGGTATTCAAACACATGGCACATCACAGGAAATGACAGAAATTCAGCACAGGACTACATTTCAGAAGAAGGTTAAACTGAGTGGCAGAAGACTGGCACAGGAAGCATCTTTGGACCACGTTAGGGATATTAGACTCTAGCAAATAATAGGCAGTCATTTAACAGTTTGAGCAAGAAGTTGACATGATTAATGCAATTGAGAAATAACACTCCTAGGCCCTCCCTGGTGGCACAGCCAATTAAAGCGCAGCACTATGAAGCTATTCTAAAGCCACTATTCTAAAGCATGAATTCAATCCCCGGCCAGGGAGATGACCCACATGAGGCAGCAGACCTCTCCTGTCTCTCCCACTGCTCCTCTCAGCAGTGTATTTCAGTCCGTCTGCCTGTTCTGTTCTCCACTCTGTCTCTGGTGAATCCTCTCACCTTCTGCACCTCTAACCTGTATCCCAGTTCTTGTGTGCATAAATAAATCTTAAAAAAATAAATAACACTCTAAGCTGCAGAATAGAGGGTGTAATCAAAAAAGGGAAGTGGTGGAAGCAGAAACTTGTTTTAAATAATACCATCACCCAGAATCACTAGGAGATAAAGGAATAGAGACCAGTTGAATTTTCAGGGACAATTTCAAAAAAAAAACAGGGCTGAGCAAGAGCTGGTGCTACCACATGATTAAATTGGGGAGTTGCTCCACACGCCAGTGTAGAGCAGTCAACTGGCAAAAAGACTAGTTCCCACAGCCTAGGTCAGAGGGGATCGCAGCTGGAACAAGGATTATTACAGCAGGGAGAAAGGACTGAATAGGTATGTGATTTAGCTAGGAAGAAGAATGGCTGGAGAAGTGTGGATGTAGTAGGTAGAATAAGCAACACCACCTGGGACAGTTAGTACACTGCTAAATAGATCTGAGGTGAGGAAAAATGTATGTGGCTTGGACTGAAGGAGTTAAGAGACCCGTGTGGGATACAGTAGTAGCCCATGGGAGTCAGGAGCAGGTCGCTGAAGGCATGGGCAGGGAGAGGTCATCCAGGGAGAGAATTTAAGTCAGACAAGAGGCGGCCCAGGATAAAATCCTAAGAAACAGTACTTATATTTAGGAAATGGCAAAGGAAGATAAGACCAACAAGAGTCTGAACTAGAGCAGGAGAGAGAGAAAAAGAAACAACCCCAGAATATAGTATCAGTATTACTGAGTAATTATGCTGTGACATGTAAGACCTATATAGTGGCTCTTTGTCTATGGTGAACACAAGGAGAAGTGGGAGAACGGCAAGCCTGGAGAGGAGCTCTGTGGAAGCTCTGTGCTCTTGCCCCATAACTTGCACAATGTATTGCTGCCATCTGGTTGTTCCAGAGTTGTATCTAGTAGTAAGTAAAATATTAATTTCAATTCTATAAGCTTCTCTAGCAAATTAATTGACTTTAACCATTTCTTGGTTCCCTGGGAACCTCTGATTTTATTTATAGCCAGTCAGTCAGAAGTACAGGTAACAACTCAGACCTAAAACTGGCATCTGAAGTCCAAGGACAGGGTGTGGGAACCTCCACCTGTAGTGGGTTGGTCAAAAGCAAAGGAAAAAGCCTGGGCTTGTAATTGGTATCTGAAGAGGGAGGCAGTCTTGTAGGAATAATTCCTTAATTTGTGGACACAGATACTAGATAGTGTCAGAATTAAGTTTAACTGTAGGACAGCCAGCTGGTGCATAGAACTGAGTGGTGGTGTGAGAAAAAAAACGTTTTCCCTACCTGCCAGCACACATTTCAATTAGCTGCACAATCATTAATTCATACCAGAACCATTTTAGGACTCAATCAACATAAAGACTGAGAACTCAAACACAAAATAATTCATGTGAACTTCCAATTATTTTAAAAAAATAAAGGAGAAAAAGAGAACAGGAGGACTAAAGATTGGAAAGGGAGAAACACAACATCTTATTTGTATTTGATATAAACATTCATATAGAGTACACAGATTCATGAAGAATCTGCATATTATTAAGTCAGATTCAACAAGGTTGACATATCAAATTTTTTATTGATAATAAAGTATTTCTCTATACTAGAAACAACTAGGAAATAGAAAGGTGCCATCCATAATAGCAAAAAACCCACAAAGCATTTAGGAACTAAGCAAAGAACTTGAAAGATTTCCATGCAGGAAATTTTATACATACAGTATTATAAATCAATGTAATCAATGTTACCTCCATAAAAAAAAATCTAAAAACACTCCCCAAATTTTAAAATGTTAAATAAGACCTGAATAAATTAAACATCCGATGATTTTAAATGGGTCAATTCAACATTATCAAGATTTCAGTTTGCCCTAAAATAACCTATAAATAAATGCAACCTCATCACTGACACTATTATTTAGAAATTCAATATTATGGAATAGTTTTAATCTGGAGATGCATGCAAAATAACAACTCACAAACAGCTAAATAACACTTAGAGAACTTGTTCTGTAAGATAACATCAATATGGTATTTGGCATAGAAAAGAAAGACCATTAGTACAGAATTGAGTTCTGAAACAGATGAACCTACTGTATAATTAAGGTTGCCCCATAAATTAATGGGGAAAAAAACAACCATTAATAGTGGAATACTGGATTCACATGTAGAGAAAAAAAAAAAGGCTCCTAACAAATACAACATACAGAAGTGAACCTCTGTGGAAAAGGGACCTACATGTGAAAGGTAAGACTATAAAGCTAACAGAACATAAACAAACAAGTCTTAAATAAAAACCTCAAAGCACAAAACTTATGTTTGTATTATCTATGTCAAACATAGTTGTTTTTAACTCTCCTTGTTAAAGAATCAAGTTTACAGTAGATTTTCCTTACTTAAAAAAAAAAGTAGGAGAAATTATTCTTTAAGATTACTCATTTAGATATGTAGGGTTCGTATATTTGAGGGTAACAGCATTGGTGGCTTTACTTTTATATTTAAAAGTAAACATTAAAGTATTGGGTAAAACTGGTTTTATTACTCTGTAAGTGCCACCACTTAAGTTTTTCATATACTTATATACAGTCCACATTAACCCCTAAAATACCTAAGAGTAAAATTAATTATCATGAGTCATCAATTATAATTTTCTTTTTTCCATACTTAAAACCTTTCAGACTAAAAGAACTGATAATATTTCTCTTAAAACTAGTGCTACATCATAAATTCCAAGCAAATGGACCAAGAGGAAATGAAGATGAAAGTTCTATTACTTCCTTATTATAATGAGCACAACTGAATAAAATTAAAATAATATATAACGAGTTTAACTGGAAATCTATCTTAATAGCCTAGGGCTACAAACCAGTTTTATGTCACACTGTCGGCTTTCATAAGAGGTAGAAATGTTACCTCAGAATTCAAACATAGTAAGAATGGTCTAAAGGAAAAATAAAATGTCTTTTTGAAATGAATTGTCTAAAAGTTAGAGTTGAACTAACAGCTAGGGAAAAACCCATTATCACAAACCTCTAAGATTTGGCAATATAAATATATTAGGTACAAGATCTATAGCCCCCAAATGATGGATATTTAATTTTAAAATGTATTCAATTTTCCAACTTTGTTTTCTATCATGCTACTCTGAATTTAACCTTTCTTTAGAGCCAGTAAAACCTGCTAAAAAGTAAAAAAACATACAATTTATTTATATTGCTTAATGTATTCAAAATAGTTTTCTACAAATCAGTGTCTTCCCCCTCATAAAAATCTACCTCTTGTATATTCAAAAACTAAATTGTGATAAAGTAATCTATAGGTATTCTAAATGTATTAGGATTAATAAAATATACCTTGAACAACAACCTGGCTGCCTGGGACAAAGAATTGCTGTGTGCCATCAGCTGATTGTGCTGCATACTGTACAATTGTAGCACCTGGTGGAGGAGCTCCTGAATTTGTCATTGTTAATGCCTGTAGTCCCTGAACACCATCAGATCCTGGGTTAGAAATCTGGATTGTTCCACCTTGGGCTATAGCAACTTAACAGAAAAAGAAAAGAAATATTAGAGAATTTCAAGATTCATTTTTAATAATCTCATATTGGAAGAATATAACTGGGTCTACTGGTTACCACTTTGTATTCTCATGTCCCCTTATTTCTTTTTGTTGAAGTTGAGACGGAACATAAGGTCCTCCCTTCATAGATAACATTTTGAAAAAAATCATAAACATTTAAAAATATTTTATATTCAAAATTGCTTGAAACACAGGACTTACAGAATTTTCCTACTTTGTGGCATCCATCCAACCAAATTATTATTTCATAGGAAGAGTGGAGATACAGACAAGGAAAAGGTTCAATTTGATTTTCTCCATTCTTTCATACATTTTTATAAACAGCATTCCTTTAACATTTAAGACATCATCAGTGAAAGCCACTGAGCATCACCAGTGAATTTGTTCCTCCCTTTAACTAATACTCTTCTAATTTATTATCAAAAATGCTTTTAGAGAAATAGATATCCTATATTTTAGTTTTAAACCTCAAAATTATAACCTTCACTATTTTGACTTATTTGACCATTTCAGGAGCAGCCTGTTATGTTGAAAAGTTGAAGCTAATTCCAGAAAAGGACTGAAAAGGTTATTGTATTGAAAAAACTTGTTCTATAATATTTGTCTCTTTCAAGTATTGAATAACTGCAGCCATGGCAACAAATATGAGGTAGAAGTCCTCTAAATACTGAGACTTGCCAGTAATGTTTAAAAGTTAACATATTAACTGAAAGTTTCAAAAGAACAACTGATCAAATGTTTTGCTCTAAAATTTCACTGACAAATAGACAAGAACTATTTAAAATATCTGAGAGTTCTGCTTTCTTTAACATAAAGACAATGACCACATTTTTTATTTAAGCATTAGAGTTCAAGGAGAACAAAGGGCTATTCCCATAACTATACTTTACAAGGAAGATAAAAGTAACACACCGCAGAAAAATACAAGTCAAAAGTAAGCCTTACAGGAATGTTACTGTTCTTATCTAAATTATATTCTCAATATTTCCAAGTCATACCAAAATATTTTTAACACTATCTAAGCAAAGGACCACACAGGTGATGACTTTATCATATAGATCTGTCTGAACTATTAACAAGGTAAGAGTTCTTTTAACCTAAATTTGTCCAATACAGAAAAATAGGATATTTTTAAAAAGATTTCAACATGGATATAATCTCTGTGTTTTGGTTCACTGACAGGCTACTATTAGAATATGACTGACAGAAACTGGAGAATTAGTTGCAGAATGTCAATAGTGCTGAAGTTGAGAAACCCTGATGTAATATCACTCTCTCTGGCTCACCTACAGCATTAGAGCATTATTTTCTGCACACATTTTAAAAGCAAGATTTCACCTTGACTCTGTAAAGATTTCAAGGCTGTCATGATTCACTTCTGTAATAAAAAGGTTAGGGAGAAATCTAAATATATCTAACTTGCTCAAAAGTATGAAAAAAAAAGAGATACTCCTTTCTTGTGCTTAATGGTTGGACATGAATTTCATGTTATCATATGAAACTAAATATTTGAATGTGTATTTTCAGTTGACAATGTTTGCTATCATAGAAAGTGCTTTAGAAAGAACAAGCATAGACAGTTCATAGCCACAATATATAAACACAATGTCTCGCATATTGCAGGTACTCAATAAATAAGATAAATAAGTGGTTACCATTTACTTAAGATAGACTTTCTTTTAATCACTGTAAGCTACTTGTGAATGTAGAAGAGTCTAAAAAAGTATGGATTTAAATTCTGACAATCAACTTTTTTCAATGTAAATACAATTATCATGTGTTTGAATCATTAAAAAATTGTATAGTTGCTCAATAAGGTAGTTAGGTCATAAATTCTTTCTTTTCATACTTTTCCCTTTTTCCTCGGGTAGTATTTTTCCACAATTCCAACAAAAACTTAAGTACTTTAACGCTGTGAAAAGTTGATATATCAAAAATTTCTTCCCCTGCTTATTTTATTTTCTGATCAAATCACATGGTTAGATGTGGAAAACAAAAATTAGACATGTAAACACACACACAAAGCTGGCACTATGGGGGGAACATTTCTGTTTTTTTCTAAATGACAAAGGTGTTTGATTTTGACATTATCAAATGACAGAGGACTTTTCATTTAAAATGTTACTTCTCATTTTACACCTCTGCTGCTTCATATTATTTAAAATCGGCTTTGTGTGTTTGTGTGCATGTTCAAAAAATCTTGAGATGGAAAATGTTGTTACATAAACACATAAAGAGAAATTAAACAGTAGAAAGAAATATGATGAAACTAACTGAATGAGTTCAGTTACATACTTAAAAAGCTTGGAAATTTTGTAGCATACTCACCCCAGTGTTTTGTTTTGTTTTTAAATTTGATTTGAGTACCTTAAAACAAATCCCAGATATTATGTTTGGCTAATCATTTTAAAATAAAATGACTGACCTTTATCGAGGCCATTAGTGACTAAAGAAAATAAAATATCTTGATTTTTCCCACTAATTTTACTTTAAAGAGCTAAGTTTTATTAATGCGTTCTTGGACTGATACATACAAATCAAGCATGAAAGTTCATACCTACAGCTAGATACATTTTTGTTGTTAACAATGAAATGTCTACTGTGGACTTTGAACACTGATAGGGACTTAAGCAGAAGTAAAAGTGTCCTATTATTTTAGACTATATGCATCCTTATTTTCCTTTTTTTAAGTATGCCTTAATATAACAATGTTATTAAATAATACACATTGAATTAGAATAATTAAATTCTAATTCAATGTGCATTATTAACTGATTTAAACCTACTAGCATAGCATATTTTCACAGTAATGATGGCTAGCAGTTAGGTTCCTGTCTTCATCCTCTAGGTGGTATATAACATTTTTCCTTCCTCCAGTTTCACTTTAACTATATCCCATAATTAAGTAAATCACACTACACTCACTTAACATAAGATATACAGACCTTAAATTATTAAAGATTTTGTCTAAATAGACAATTCATCAGTTTACTTAAGTACTCTCCTACTAAATTAGTTTTAGTTACTACACAAATGTCTTTATATAGGTCCTTATATAGTCATGATATTTAGTATGGTTTCCTCATCCCCAATTTACCATATATAATGGTAACCAGAATAATCATCAATCCTCTCAGTTAGTCTGGGCAATAAATTCTAAAAAATATTTTTGGGACATAAAATTGGGTCTAAAAAAAATCTCTATTTCCACTACTCATTGTTATTGAGCACTTGTCTATAAGAACTATTAAAATTATTGAAGTGAGGGTAACATTACTTGAGGGATGAAAATTAAGGAATTTCTATAAAAAAGATTTTTTTGTAAAAAAATAAGTTTTAACAAAAAATATTTTTAAGCCCTGTATAATCAAAAAGGAACAAAAAAAATGGTAAATATAAGGGTGGATAACTGATAGAGTTTATGACCAAATAAAGGAGGGTAATTTATTTAAATTATGATTTCATATGATTTCTTTTCACTTGATGCTAACATTTTTTAATCTTAAACTTGTATTTTTGAGCTAATTAATATACATAAACAAGTCAACATTTATCTATAATTTAAAGCCATCTTTATTTTAACTAGCAATTAAAAGCCATAAATAAAATGCCATTCTGTTAACTTTAAAAAGAACAACAGCCCCTCTTTCAAGTGAATGCTCAGATTTAAATATAAAAAGTGAGCCCAGGATAATCTGTGAGTCCTGTGCCTTAAAAGCCTAGCATTGTGTGCCCAAGAAGAAAGATAAACGGCAACACTAAGTTAAAAAAGCAAGATTTACATCAAAAAGGCAGCTTCCACATTTGCTCTGATCTTTAGGATAATCAAAGCAAAGCTGCAGTCAAAGTAAATCCAACAGCATTTACTGTAGAATGTGAAAGCTTATCAGGTGCAAATTCCTTTTGTGAAGAAATGGAATAGGTGTTGATTCATGAGTCTCTTGAGAATTCTGAATTCTTTCAGTAGCTCACAAGTTCACATAGACTTTTTTCAAAATGATGGATTGGGATTGACACTTACCTTTGGTGTATAAGAATTCCAGTAAAGATGAGTTAAAAGACTCATCTTAATGCTCCTAGTAAAATAAAGTAGAAGCAAGCACAGACACAAGGGACATTTAGAAAAGAAATAATTTGAAGTCTTCGATGACAGACCTTAATTGGCAAAGGTATAGTAAAGTGGAAGTTTTAAAAAAAACTTTGTGGAAAGTTGAAATAATTAAGAAACATCAAATATTTAAATTCCTTTCATTGCTTTCACTATAAATTCTCTTCAATTTAATGTAAAACTTAAATACAGCAAGTATCATTTTTTGCTAATTCTAATATTATCTAAATCCCTGTCTCTCAGAAATATTCTCCTGAGCCAGAACAGATTTTCTGTGATAAGAATGAGTGTTAACTGGCATACAACCAACCTATCACTAAGATCTTTACTTTCAATAAAGATTTTGCAATGTAGCTCACTTTCTTAGTGCTGTTAATACATTTCTGCCTATTTTAAATTATTTTTTTTACGCCCAGGGAGTAGTCTATTCTATTTCAGTTTTTAATTTTTGTGATTGACAAAAAATCAAAGTAACAATGCCAACTTCTGTAAGGTAATTTCAACTTCAACTTTAAGAATGCAATTGCTTAGATATGAAAAACCTGAATACACTTATTTCTTCAACTCTGAAATATAAAGTCTTTTATTAAAGTCCAACTAACTCATTTTAACAAGTTTAAAATAATACCTTTGGGGGAAAAAAAACAAAGCAAATTTGGAAGAAAGTCATTCATCAACAAAAGATTACAAAAGAACCTCAAAAGTACATACAAATACATATAAAAATCTCCAGAAATTCTAGTAAAATAAACTTTTCTAGTTCACAATCCAAAGGACACAGTTAATTGTTTCTATTACTATATATTTAGGAAACCAAAGCATTAGTATCTGTTATGCTGTTCAGCATCCAAAATATGATTAGTAAAAATGAATCTTGGTATGTACATTTACCTTCCAATTAAAAGTCTTCTAAAAAGTTTAAATGTTAGGATTTACTTCTTAAATAAAAGAACTAGCAATATAAATAAGTATCACTAAATGTCTAAGAAATACATTTTTTAAAAAGTCAGTATTGATTTTTATGAACCAATAAGTGGCCATTTTACACATGGGCAACACACATAAAACAAGCACAATTTATTAAAATAACTGCCCATTCATAGTACATGAGCCAAAAGTAAGCAGCCTAAATAACAGATAGGCCAAGACCTCTTCTGTGGGGAAGATAAACTCATGACTTCTACACATTCAGTGTTCTAATTCTCAATCAGAACCCCTCTGGCTCCACACCGTTTTACTCCCATACCCAAGGTGATCATTCGTGCTGAATCCTCACTATCAGTGTTTACTGAGAGCACAAAAAATAAAGGCTTCAATGCTGGCTGGAGAGAAAAATTTAATGACCACGAATGAGACACTGCCACAGCTGCTTTACGTTTTGTGTATTTTGTACCAAAAACAGCATGTCTCTTTCCCCATTTTTACCTGTTACCACCTTTGGTCCTCATGCCAACCTAAGAGTTTGACCAAAGTTTAGTATTATTCCCACTTCAAAGACTATAAACCTGAGATGGGAAAAATAAAGCTTCTTGCTCTGACCCACTCAATGAAGAGACCAGAGTTTCTTCCCCACATCATCTCTACCTTCTGCTTTCTCTCAACCAAGTACGTTTTCTTAATTTCAAAATTTCATCTCATTAATCTAGGCAAATTAATTAACAACACACCCCTCCCCATATTGCCTTAAAGGGATTCACTGCTTCTATCAATTTCTAAGTAACATTAGGATATGCCAGGGCAATGTCTAAGATGACAACTTAAATCAACCCTCCAAATTTTGACGTGCCATACCATTATTTCAGCTATAATTGCCAACTCTTCCCCTGTCATGACAGAGGATGATAAAATGTGTACAGCTCTCTGCACAAGGCCAGAGCTGACCAGACAGGAGGTTCCAGAAGTTCCAAGCCCGGCCCGGCCACTCTGGGGATGGTAGACATGAGAAACACAGCACTGTTGTCCCCGGTATGCTGCAAACTAAACAGGAAGCTCTCAAAGTTTAAGACCCACCATATGTTCCCAGTGTGTCAGATAAAAAGCCATAGAAATCAAAGAAGTGATAAAAGAGAAATGACAATGAGAACTTCAAGGTTTCATTCTTATAGACAAGGGAGAGTTTTCTTTTCCTAGCCTCACTCTGGATGGCTAACGAGTTCCCAAAGAGGGAAAATTACACCCCAATATACAGATATAGTAGACAAATTAAGCCCCAATGCTACCAAATATCATGGTAGGGACTACCCTAAGACAGAATCACCGAAGAATTGGTTTAATACTGTAAATCTACCACCACTATTAGTAAAACTCTAAAAAAAATCTATAAAAACTCTTACCATACATTAAGGATTACAGCTTGCTATAACAGTTTAAGTCTTAAATTAAGTTCGAGACTTTCTAGGTACTACTATTTTTTAAAGAGGAAACAGAAAATATACCTAAAATTGTAACACTGTCTTTAGACCAACATAGTATTTAATATCACATATATTCCAGTTCTAAGTGAATTTTGTTTTAATTTTTTCTATTTCTTCTTCCCTTTTTTTCTTCCTAGCTCTACTATATTACTATTTTATTTTTATATATTAAGTATTCTTGATTTGGCCGGGGAAAAAAACCTAGTGCTTTATTTGGATCAAAAAGCACAGTTAACAGCCCGTTAAAATGAACAAGACTAAAAGTGAATGTTATCTGTTTATTTAGAACTTTTGGTGCTTAAAATTTCAAATAAAAATGATCTGTCCAACTGCTGTAGTTTTAAAAAAATTAAGTATCATTCTTCCATTCTCCTCTAGGAAACACTACAACACAAATTAACACAGCAGCTAGTAGTGAAAATAATTACACATAAAACATAATTTAGAAAATATATACCTCTTTTAGTTCAGTAATTAAAACATAATTGTTGGTAACAAAAGCCAACAAGAATGAAATACAGACATTTATATTATGTTGCATGCACCATAAAGACAATAAAACAGTTAAGTTTTAAACTTTTACTAAACAAGAATATCAACATATAACTAGGAAAAGCTCTCCCTGTTTTTTATTCCCCAATTTTTTTGATTCTAGGCAGTAAAAGTATTTTTACTTTCAAAAATATATGACAACTATCAGTACAAATTTCTTCTTTAACATGTGGCATCATTCTATGATATACAGTTAGGTACTAAGAAGCATTTGAAAATGGAACAATTTAGTGTCAAAGCCAGAGTAGCTTCAGTGTAACTAGAGAACACTTAAGCTAGCACTGTATCATATCAAATTGCAGCATACATACTGTATTGCCCCGTGCTAGTCTGATATATGCTAGTTGGTACTGCCATGGTAGCGATGCTAGGCGGCGTTCCTTCTTCCTCAGATTTTTCTTCTTCAATCTTGGGAACACCAGGCACATCAGAGGAAAGTTCATTCAGTATTTTTCTGAAATATAATTTAACACAAATAATAAGATAAATGAAGGAAATTTAAAATAAAAGCTATAAAGGAAGAACTGGGTTTCCCTTTTTGGAAAAAACATTATAGTAGAAAACCTAATTAACTTACCTATAAGAGGGTCTTCGTGAAAGGATTTCTCTGCGTTTATGAGAATCAATTACACCTTCTGATTCTGCAGAATCATCTGTCTCTGCAATTGTTGCTACCTGTAACACAAGAGTTTATGAAATGCATCATAAAATATATAATCTCCTTTATTCAGTGATTAAACATCTCTGTAGGAATAAGTGTTGGGGGCGTACACAGAACAGAACACACTACGCTTACACTGTTGAAGGCTCACAAAACCTGGCTAAGGTAGAGAAGTGTGGACACAAACAGTGATGTTGCAGAACAAGTATATGTAGAAAGAATGGTACTGACAAAATAGATACTAAAAATATGCAAATGAAAGGATGTCTGGAAGATCACATACGGTGTCACAGGACCACATAAGTTCTATGAGCCCAATTCTGAAAGTACTTAACAAATCCAGCAAGGGATGAGTAGCAGTGGCAGACAGAGCATCCTGATTTCACTGCACTCTTCACAATATCACAATTGACTTGAGTTAGGTCCAAAGATATTCTGACTTAGATTTGATATTAGATATTTGATTGGTCCAAAGAAACAGGAATATTTAAGCAAGTAGACAAGTGAGTAAATAGTCTAAAGTTAGGATTTATAATTACAAGAAGTTTGGGGTTTTCTCTTGATAAAGTCTTGAAGGTTAGAATAAGCAATTTTTCCTTAAAATTAAATCAGCTTAAGCATGATTTAGTTTGTTCAAGTATAAAATGATAACATGACTATTAAAGAAAGTCAGGAAACTAAAATGTTACATCATGACTGCTTTCAATCTGTTCAGTGATTTATGATTCAGGGTCTAGGGTAGTTCTGAGTTTACAAAATTCACTTTACTTCCAATTCAAATTATATGGGAATTTGATTTGGGCAAAATCAAAAGCGCTTACTAAAATATCAACAATACAAGCAGGAATATGTAATTCCTAGAGCACATAGCTGTGTATACATGATCACCCAAACATGCAACCATGCATCTTTGGTCATGAATACCCTACACATAAGCACTTTCTCTAACGAGAAATTTAATAGGAAAAATGTATTAGAGTCACATAATCATGTACCACTGCCAATATTTATCCCTTTACACTGGGTTTTTACACATCTCTTATATAATCATTATCCCATTCCCCTTTATGTCAAACAAGCTACTTATTTCACCCATTTTAGAAAAATAAAAGCTGAAATTCACATAAACTATTTAGGTGACTTGCATGTTGTTTAGCAGGTAGAAATTCTAAGACAAAATCCATTAACACCTCTCTCTATAAACATAATTAAATCATTCATTTAACAAAATCTAGCCTACTAAAATGTAATACCTCTTTCCAATATCAGTCAACTTAAAACTAAGTAGAAATAACTACACCTCAATAAAAGGCATAATACAAAAGTAAGTGGGTTTTTGTTTTATAATTAGGGTCAAAAACAAACTCTTAGAACAAAGGGTCATCACACAAAAAAGAAAACAAAGGACAATGCTGATCATTATTTACACTTCTGAGCAACACAGGAAAAGATATCTGTGCTGTAAAGATAATCAAGCTTTTGATGAATATGGATTTGCTACCCCAAATATATATATGCTTCAATAAACTGTACTCAAACAAACAAGCATAAATACATGCATCTATACTTTCTCAGATAGTTTTCAATTAGGGTCAAGTAATTTCAAATTTTAAAGATAACAAATTGACTTTAAAAAGAACAGAAATAAATTTAGTAAACAGAAAAGTATGCTTTAAAAATACTTATTTTTTCTATCACTTAACAAAATATGTTAAGGATTTATGGTCAATCTTGATAATAAACAATAAATTTCATCTCTTGATCACAAAGACAATAAGTCTACAAAAACAAAGGTTTAATCTTAGAGGGATACTTGAACCTAACAGCAAGGTGGCCATAATAGCCTATTTTCTATGAATTGCACACAATGAATTAAACTTATACCTCTACCTTCTTATTAATGGGAGTATTCACCAAAACAACATCAGGACTACCACCTTAATATCACTGCATTTATCAGACAACTTCTCCAAAGAATTTAACTTCAATAAATAAATCTGAATTTTCGCAAACAGCAATAACCTAAGGATTATTCATCTGACAATTACTTACACAAGTAAGAGCTAACAACAAAACTGCAACTCTCAAATTAAATATATGTACCTAATAGTGCACAAGGTACTTCCATACATAAAAAGGAAATTCATGATCAAGTATTTTTATGAGACATTGGGAAGAAAGTTACTAAATACGATAAATTAAGTTAAAAGAAAACAAAAGCTCAAGAATATCAAAGACAAATCATCTAGGAAGAAAGCTGCTTACCTGAACAGTTTGTATTTGTGGTGACTGAATAACTGATGGCTGTGGTGTTTGAATTACTCCCTGGACATGTACAGTTTGGCCCGAAGGTAGCTGTACTAGGGTTACAGCTGGGGAGCCTCTTCCGGTGCCTGATCCAGCTACAGAAACCTGCAAAAATGATCATCATTGAGAATTAAGGGTAGACTTTTTTTTTTTTAAGAAATACCATTCACTATTATGACTGGACTATTTTTCCTTTCTGTTTCCTGCTTCTAAGATATAATAAGCAGACTGGGATACTTACCATTAGGAGGTAGTTACTGTCCTGGAATAGTCATTCTCTGATGTGATAGATATTAAAGAACCCATGCTCCTCACTTTCAGTTCCCATGCTTCGATGATTAAGAATGTTCCCAGCACAAAGTTCTAAAGCAGTTAAACGACCTCACTGCGACCTCATGACTACTAACAGTGAACCTTTTTTCAGGCCAGACAGAGTACATACTACCCCTCCCAATTTCTTAAATTGAACACAGGATTAAATATGGTGAATAATTTTTTAATAAGTGTTCAATATATGAAATTCCAGTATTACTATAGATACAAGCCAATGCCTTGCCTCTATAATCATGAAAATCACGGTTTCGTACTCCCACAATCACAAAAAAGGCACAGGCCAAAAAATTCCAGAGTCTCTCATGCTTGCAGTATCTCTGACCCAGAGAGAGCTACCCTGGTTTCCTCACACTTCTCTCCTACTGCTTAAGAATCCAAAAGGAGCCAGAGGTACCTCTTAGTTTGCAAAGCAAAGAAAACACAGCCAGCCTCCAACTACTTTTCTTTCAACAGAAATCCCTATCAGCAAAATGTAATACTGCTACTATTTTGGATTAAAAACTTAAGTTTTCTGATTAGTAAACAACTCACTCCTATAGACTGGTATAGTAATCTAAGAAACTCTGCCTCATTTTATTAAGTTTCACTATTCAAAACAGTCAAAAGACTTTGGCAAGGAAATATGCCACCAGTTTCTATTAGTGAGTGGTGATAGATCCACAGGTTTTAAAACAAGGAAGCCTCTGCACTGGACCTCATTTTAAGGAACACCAACCATTTCCAATCTACATATATCAATACTTTAAAATAATTATTAAAAATTGGGCTTATAGCAAATATTTGTAAGATGCAATTAAACATTATTCCCTTTGGAAGGACACTTCTCTGTCAATATAAACATAAAAAGCCTTTTACCCATGAAGAAGAACTCACATGCTGAGCATTGTACAAGTGTAGTAGGGGAGAAAGAATTAACCAGACACTTAAGAAACAATAACATAATACACAATATAGAACTAATTGCCCCATTGTATGAAACATGAAATTCATAAAGAGTTACAGAATAAAAGTATCAGTATAGCTCCTGAATAATAAATAGAGACTGTGTAGAAGCAACAGCTTGAGTTGGGCCTCAACAAGAGCCTGAATAATAGCTAGAAAGAAAAATGAGAAACTAGGGCAGAGACAAACAACATATAACCCAACAACTACATTTAGCCTGGGATTATTACTGTCTACCTTAGATTTCAGGATGAAAGAAAAAGGTTATCCCATAATGGAACCTGCACATTTTATGACCAGCAGCTAAACAAAGAAACTGTGTTTATTTATGTTTAATTAGTTTCTAGCATGAAAGACAATTCCTTTTAAGTTATAAAAAGGCATCCATTCTGTATAGGCCAATCGCCAAAAGGTATTCCTTTCATAACACAATTCTCAAGCTTTTTAGTTTCAGGAAGCTTTTACACTTTCAAAAACTTAATGATGACCTCAAGGAGTAACAACTCTTTGTTGAGTTGTTGAGGTGATTTATTTCTAGTAGGATGTATAAATATTGAACAACTAGCTTTTGGGAAGGGATGACACTAATTTGTAAGCTTTGCTGATTTCCACAATTTGTAAGCTTTGCTGATTTCCACAATGTAAATACTCCTACCTTGGCAGATTTCAAGCTACCAAGGAGTGATGCTGAACAAAAAGTTTAGATGTAAACAGTGGCTCTTACAAGCCAGTTTTCTAACATACCATTGGTTATAAGTATTGATATTTAACGTATCTGAGAAGTTTCAAGTTATAAAGCTAAAATTAATTTATGAAAAAATAAGGATACCATTATACACTAACATCAATACACATTTTATGAAAAATAAATATATTTTCCCAAACAAAACATTGACAAAAGTGTAAATGTTTTACATTTTTTATGAGTTCTTTTCATCTTTACAAATTCTGGTTTACTGAAAACAGATCCTCATATCTATTTTAGCACAGAATCCGCTGTGATGTTATTGTAGCTATATCTGATGAGAGTTTGGACTTCACAGAGCTACATGATTGGAAAATGAAATTTTAACAGTTTTTTAAATAAAAATGTGGATTTTTCTGATGCTACACAGAATTCAACTTACTTCTTAAAAGTTGGCTGCAACCTATATCTGAAACTGTATCAGTTATAGTAAGATCTACTGATCTCTCTTATAGTGTAGATAGATCTTTACCCAATGAATGTTTTTGGGTGGTTATCTGGAAACTAATGGCTTACTAATTGATTCCCCAATGCTGACATATTTCACAATGCCACATTCACTTAAATCAGCTTCAATCCTATCAGAACTCAATACAGAGAAACTATCAAGCTTAAAAAGGTAGATGTAGGTTTTCCAAAATTCACAATTTCTCTGTAAAAGCTCAAATTTTACTATTAGCAACAAACACTGCTGAACTGTTTTACTGGATGCTGCAACTAATTTTATTTGCTTTTGAAACAATATTTTCCAAATACTTTTTTGTCCAAAATTTGGTTATGACCATTCTACTGAGAAAAATGGTATACAGTGAAAGAAATTCTAGTTAGTTCACTCTACCACCCAACTATTCAAGTCCTTTTCTTCAGTCTTTGGTATGGAGCAGAAATGTTTTCAAGGATCATCCCAATATCATAACATAGAACATTAAAAGAACATATACTCAAGGATGAGGATTTAATACAACTGGCAGTATTTACTTAATCTTAAAATGAAACTTTTTTTTTTTTTTTTTTTTTTTTTACTGCAAGTGACTGGCAGTGAAGAATGTAACAGATACCAGTGCAGTCTGACTAGACTGATGCTAAGGCACCAACAGCTTTACCGTTCAGTGTACAAATCCCAAAGGAGAGGAAAAAGGAAATACATCCTAGCATTACTGTGAAAATAGTCTTGCCCTTCTAAACTTCTCCGAAAGGTCTGCTGTTTACTAACATAGCTGTAAGGCCCTGGTTCACAGTTTAAAGAGCAGATTGTTGAGGCAAGATGTGATTTCAGCTTCACTATAGCAACACAGTTAAAACTGCAGCCATTAAAACTGGTAGAATTAATGTGTCAGAAAACTATAAAAATATACCCAAAAGTACTATAAGTATTCTTATAGACTAGCTCTGTAGATTGAGGTACTTAGTACCCATATTTACATTCTGTGAGTGAAATATCCTAATTTCAATGAAATCAGGTATTTTAAAGAACTGATGAACAGATCAAGACAGACGGGGGTTTTGATAAGTATAAATCATGCTTTAAGAGGCTTATATTATTATCTTTCAAGAATAATTTTCAGGATTTTAAGTTAATGGCTTTATCAATGTGGATTCGTGTCAAGAATACCTGCTACAGAACTAATAACAAATTTTATCTCTTGTATTCTGAAGGGGAGCTATATATTTTATAACTCTACAAAACATTATGTCTAAACCCTGGTTACTGCAAAAGCTCACGGGACAATTCTTTCAATAAAATGCTGAAATACAAGACTGAGAATTAATATAAAAGACTTTCCCCACAGCTAGATGTGATGTATTCATTGGGAGAAAAAACACACACACACACACACAAAACACAAAACCTCTTAGATGTAGAGATCTGCCAGACCATCTATGTTCTCATGGTTTTTGCCAAACCTGGTGGCTAGCATTCAGTCTGTAACTGTCTTGGTAGAGTTATATGTCTCTGCTTACAGCATCTTAGCATTATTACTATGCTAGCATATTGGCCACATAAACTGCAACTGAATATCCAGTACTCTTAAAGTGTACAGTTGGGAGAGAAGGAACAAAGAAAGGCAATGATTAGAGAACTAGCACGGTAGTCCCAAAGCCAAAAAAATGGATAAAGCAGAATTTTTTTTCTATATAGATATAAGATGGTAGATTATTTTTGGCCAGTTAAGTCAAATGTGATGTGGGACAACAGTAGAATGAACAGATGGAAATATTTAAAAGGTAAAATTAGGGTCTGTTTCTTGGGTTAGAGCTGACAGAAAATAAAGATATGAAAAATAATAATGAAGAGCCATTTATAAAGGATATTATATTAGTTTATTCATAATGTACAAAGAGAATTCTAAAGAAATTCTGGAGAGGGATTCTTTCCTAAAGGAAGCTACTGATACAGGGACAAATTTAGTCCACTTAAACGAAAATATGTATAAGGCAAGGGTAAAAATAAAGCTTTCATATAAATATCAAATATTCATCCCAAAACTTTTTAATAAGCAAAAATCACGCAGAAATAATTCATACTTATGATTCAATTCATTCTTCTATTCATTCAACAAATATTTATTGGGAGCTTTTCCTGTGAACCAGTCTAGAGAGCAGAGATACAGCAATAAACAAGGAAAGTCTCCTAGATCACAAAAAGACAAAACAGATAAAGAAACAAAAGCATGCTTATGGTAGTGATAAAATTATTAAGATAATAAAGTAGGGTAAGGGGACCGAGAGTAAGGTGGGAGGAGGAAAAGTGTGGAAGGAAGCTGTCGAAGACAAAGCCAAATCAAAACAAACCCTAGACATAGAACCATAGAATTGAGGCTGCCAAAAGGGGAGGAAAAAAGGAAGGCACAGGGAACAAAAGATGGGGAAGGCTCAAAGGATGAGGGGAGAAGACCTGGGTGTCTTCTGGTGTGGTAACATATATCTGAACAGGTGTGAATCTACACCCCTGAACCATAGTGCTTGACACCAACATTACCTCAATAAAGAGTGAAAAAAGGTATTTGTTGAGAAAAGCTGCTCAGAGGAACATCTGCCCAATATGCCCAAAGAAAGAGAAGCAGCCACAGGAAGAGGTACGCTC